GAAAAGTGATCGAGGTGCACACACAAGCAATCCTGAGATTCTACCAAGCCCAACTTCAAAGGGGTCCTGTTCGAGTATTCTCTCCTGCAGGCAAAGTGGTTCTAGTTTTTGAAAGTGGGTACAAAACCATCAGGATTCTGATCTCGCGTTAATGTCACACAAGGGGGTTATCATTCTCTGCGCGTGCATCTCTGTGCCGATGAAGTCGCGATTGTGTCCATCGACACTAGGACAGGCCGGTTGAGTATCCGAGATACGGGCGACCTTGCAGCACCTGGCCGAGGACCACGATTTTCTGCCATCTCTGACAAACTCAACGAAACACCCAATATGCTTTTTGATGTGTTAATCAGACTAAGATTTAACGTGCGCCATCTTACTTTTGCACCATAATCCTCACTGTATTGTATTGGTAGACAATTACAGATATCGTGGAACAAAAAGCTAACTACCTTGGCTTCCAAGTGTTCCGGCATCGAAACTTCTCAAAAGAAGGTTTGGTATTGTCAATTCATACTCATACACCGTCTCACTTCCGTCTTAGAGATTCAAAAGCTTGGACCTGCAGCGCGCGGCATGATGTATATCCAGCTTGCCAACTTCCCCACGCACTACCTCGTGCTTGTCCTCACAGATGAAGAGTTCAGGTACGCGCTCATATCGACAAAAATGCTCTCGGACACGATGTTTGGAAACATGATTATGGAGGATATCGGCTGGCTTGATGTGAGACGAATACGAGGTGATAGGGGTGCTGGCGCCGGCATGGATGAGGTTGTGATCTCATCTATGTCGCACGAACCACTGGTCTTGCAAAAGAGAAGACGAGATGATGTGCCTCCAGAATTATCAAGAAGCGAAGATAGGTAAGATATTTTTCAGTTCTCCAGTTTGTGTTGCTGACATATAAGCGTAGTTTCAACTTGGAGACGCAAGTACTCCGGGAACTATATGCATATTGTTGGTATGAAACTTCGTTCGTTCGTCATCTAAATAATTCTCAATTGTCCTTCCAGCGCACGCGTTGCATACACCCGAGTCGAGCGCCAATTTAAGCTCCGTGGTATCCCCTACACCCATGTCAACCCTACAATCACCCTCCCACAGATATCCGAGCTTGGTCACATTCAATCATCCCTTGCCCGTTCTGTACCGGCACTTTGTGTTCAGTCCTCAGACATTCTATCAGGTGCACCAGCAGCCGAGGCGGCCATGCCCAACATTCGTGTCATACCATTGAACTGGTGGTCAGACAAGAAGGCACAGGTGGTAACCTGCGTGAAATTGAAGTACGTACAACAACCAGTCGGGAAACGTGCCGCGGCAGGGTCTAGCAGTAAAAATATTATTCGTCCATCGAAAAGAATCATCTATGATGCGGTTGAGGCTGTGGTCTCCTTTTTATCCGAAGAGGTTGACACCTGTGTGGACGAGTTTCTAGAAGAGTGGGCCCGCGTTTCTAAGATGGTCGTCATTGCCCGTGAAGGTGCGCTCTGCTTGAAGTTGTTGGTGTATTATTGATGTTTACACAATGTAGTGGCACGAATGGCGAAAGGGAATAAATGGCCAGACGTGAGACTATTGTCATTTGACTTGCAAACTGTGGAGTTTGCGTACTCTTCAGTGAGCTTTAACGTCCATTTGTCTAGTAATCTCTCACCCCACTTCTGCAGGATTATACGGTCTTAATTACTTGTACGGACCAGCTATCGCCTACAGGTGGATCCTTCGAGCTACGCTTTTCACGTTGTGCACCTTCGCCGACCCTTTTACAACCTTCCTCTCTCGCTCCCCCTCAATTTCGTTTCCCGAATCATCAACTACGGACCAATCCCCATGAAGAAGCTGAGCCATATCTCCGCCATGTTCTTCGCCACGGCCCATTGGCATCCTCACTTGATCGCCTTGTTGAACTCCTTCGAAATACCCTTCCTATAGCAGTGGAACTTGAACACATGAGAGCGAGCTCCCGTGACTCTAAGCAGTCTCCAGGACGTGGTAGAGGTCGGCCACGTATAGCGGTCAAGACTGACACCCCCGAACCATGGGTAGACACATATGTCAAAGGCTTAGGCTGGTGGAGGGTGCTATATGGCGACCTGAGGTGCAGTTCTTTACTATATGCTCATAATTGTAACTGAACATGATATGGTTAGACATGCTCTTGACTTCCGGTTAATGACGGGACAACGGATTGCTATCCTAGATGCGTCATACTCTCTTTTCGGCTCAAGCTCCTCTTCAACATCGTCACCGTCTTCCGAGCTTCTTAGTCTGCTACCAATTCCAGACTTCAAGACCCTTGTCACTGATGCCATTAAATCTGTACGTATCAAAGACGAACACGCAAAGGTGGCCTACATCGACGCTGGGGTAGTCTGTGATAGCTCTTTTGTGAGCGGTGTGGCAAGGGCATTGCATGAACGAGTGTTGAAGAAGTTGCGGGATAGATAATCCCAAAGATTTCTCTACTCTACTGGTATTCTTGATATACCTCATAGATGCTTCTTTTGAAAAAACGTCATTACATTAGCTTACCTACCAACACGCCGACTAACGACTCTACCATCAGTGAAGTCTGTAATTCTAATTGCCGGGCTTAACAATTTCAACCCAGAAGGCGAGGTTAACGCTCACCTCTTAGTCTTAGTATTCACTCTTTTTCAGCTGGCCTGCCTTGCGTATTTGAGGGGGCTCGCAGTAGCGCCAGCACGCAAATAGGCACGGCCGGTAGAAATGAGGCAGCGGATGCCAGGTCACAGAATGAAATAGTCTAACAGAACGTGAGTGGCATAAGTGAAGCAATTTGGTTTTCCAGAATGCAATGAATGAAACGCTGCGACGGTGCGGCTTTAGATACAGTTCAAATCAATGGTTCATGCGAAAGAACTCACATATCATGAACTATACCAGGGACTAATGACTCAAGATCCCAGTTATGTTCGTAATTGAACACGCTCCTGCAAGTTCTACCGAAATTTCTGCCATCCAACACCAATGGCAATTCTGCGAAATCATGCCCGTGAGCATAAGCAGGATATAAAAGCTGGTCGTCATCTTACAGTGTTCCCCCATCCTCAGAGATATCATTCGAGATCCCCCTCAGAAAATTCCATATCACCTCGCAAAGAAAATGCGTTTCTCCCTCCTCGCTGTTGTTGTTGCTTTGACAGTATCTATGTCTGTCAGTGCATGTCAGACTGAGACAGAAACTTGCACGACAGATAAAGATTGCTGCAGTAACATAATCAAGTTGATTTGTCACGATGATGGCGTGAGTATGAGCGGGTCGCTGTGCAACCAGGATTCAACCACATGTCTCACCTGCGCACCTTAGCAGGGAGTTATGACCTGCATGTCAGGGCCATTTGAACAGTGAGCTGGCAACCAGTACGGCATGTCACAACAGTGAGTCATGTTTCTGCTTCTGCTTTGGTATCATGGTTGATTGTGCAATATCTAGTTCGAAGCCAAATTTCCAATTAGTACCATTATTTTTGGACAAATTTTCGTACTGCTCGAGCTGCTCGAACAATGTGGATGTTTGAATTTACCTGAAAGTGATTCCTCCCCTGGTGGCAGACTCTGATGAGCAGGACTATCTCGCGAATCCGAAATCAATTCCTGATGAGAAATCGATGAAAGAGCTTGAAAAATTCGAGTGCGAGACACGGGAGGCTGGCTAACTTGAACCGCGAGAAAATGACGAGGCAGGTGGTGGTTTGATTGCAGATGATGTACTGGATATTCTAGACGGCGGTATCATCGACTGGAGTGAGTTAGAGAGTGTTTACAGGGGTGCCGTGCCAGTTGGCTTCGTTGAAGAGATCGATGTACTCAATCGAGAATCGAGGCTCAGGTCCTCAGGATACTTGCATCAGGATGGAATATTGATGCACTTTTGATCCATCAGAAGGCCTGTAGTGGTCAAAACTATTTTTGCCGTAGTAGAAACATAGTTGAGTTGGAAATAGCTTGAAAAGCGCTCACAATACATTTTGCCGACTTCTGCCATTTTGCTAATTGCCAATTGCCACGAGGCCAATTTCTTTTTGTTCCCCACACTAGCGTCGGTCCTGGCAGAATATTTCGATCCTAGGATATCCGACCGTCCGACCCTTTCCAACATCCGCCCCAGATATGACTCAGCGTGCCAGCCACCATCATCTACAAACAAACAACACCAAGCACGCCACCTTGAACTTTACATCACCCTTTCCCCGCTCCCCGCCCTTTGTGTCTCTTTCCCCGCCCTCGCCGGCGCCCTCTGTGTCATGGTCAATGTTGAAGATGAGCCAGTAGGGAGCTGATGCGCTGATGATGCAGTAACTGCAGCACCTCAAGGCCTCAAGGGCTGATGGTATTGGCGTAGTCATTGAGTGCGGTGCAGGGAGGTAAGCATGTGGCGGCGCTGTTGAGTAGCGGCTTGGCCAAATGTAGTAATATCCCCGACGTGCGCAGAGGTGAGGACGTGTGGGAAACAGTGAGCTTAATACATAATTATATTTTAACATTGAATGTAGTATATTATGTATGCGTGGGAACGATGATTATTATACTGGCGCGGATGCGGTCGGACGGTCGGATGAGGTCGGACGGTCGGATATCCCAGGATCGAGATGTCCTCGGTCCTGGTACCCCCAGTCTTGGGGTGCCCGATATTGAAATACAAGGAGAATCGGTGCGAATGCCCAGACAGGTGATTCTACGCGTTTGTAGAGGAACCGTGAAGCTCGGATTGAGCTCGGACAGTGGCTGATGACTTACATCAATTGGTGCACTGCGACACGATCTCCACCAATCAACAAGCTTGCTGCATCACTGGACCATTCGTAACACATCGGTGCATCAAAATTCTTCCGCTAAACAGTTTGGAACGTTTCACTGTGACCCTCCTTGGTTTCATCCTGGGCCGCCGTTAGATCGATCTCGGACGATTACGGAAGCGGCCGCTCGACCTCGAAAATCGCGTTGGTAATCAGTTACCAACATTACCAAACGACTGAAACTTTACTGATGGAAATCAAGTTAGTCTACTGATCGATATCTATCTCCATAATGCAAATATTGGTGATAGAAGCGCTGAACAGTGGTATATATCTCGCACGAACGCTATTATCACGCATCACTAACATTCCCCACTGCTCGCTCGCAGCCATCCCTCCAATATGGGATCATTTGAGACTAAGGTCAGACCCTAGTCTCATATGATCCCAGTAGGTGGTCGTTCATCAGCTTGATCTTTTTTAAGCTATTCGACGGGTTCGTCGTATCAGTTGATGATGTCTCGATCTAATATTGACTTGCGGTATCACAGTTGCCGCCGCCGCCGCCATGGTGGTATACGATTGGGGTGAGCAGGATAGACCTGATGGTGTTCTAAAACCGCTTATATTCTCACTATATTCCTAGTACTAACACTTGGACAAGAGGTAAGTCGATGTTATCCCTGGAGCAGCCAACTCGCTAAGAACGGTGTCATAGATTGAATTGATCTGGGTAAGTCCCATACGATGAGAAAATAGAAGATTGCAATGAATTCGTGACAGAGGCGACGCTGGTCTCTCATGATTGTGCTGTATTTGGTTGTTCGTACTTCATGTTATGCTATAGCGTGGTTGGCAAGTTGTGCTGACTCCAAAATGTTTTAGATCCGTTATATTGGAATACCATATTTTGTGTATGTGTCGAGGCCAACAGATTGATACTGTACTAATAGTTCATCTTCGACAATTAGTGTTGCGTATGTCTCATTAGTGTGCACTGTGTTCTATTCGTCTGACCAGCACACAGAATATATTCGATTGGTCTCGCTAACAGATGCAGTGAGTATTCCGCAATCATTTCATTCCTATCTAATGACTGCATTTATTTGTAGGGGTGGATGTGATTCTGACCCTTGAACTTGGCTCGACATAATGACTCGATAGATGTGAGTCGGAGTGTTTGATCCTGCTACCACGGTGATCAATAATTGGGTGTTTCAGGCGGTACACACCAGCGGTCGCCGGCCCGCAAAAACCACCAGGGAGTTTTAGTGGGTATTGCGTGTCAGCGGAGCCCCACATAACCGCCCCATCCGGCAATGGTATGTGTAAATGTATTTCTTCCTAGAGTTAGCGCTCTTATCAATCGTGGTTCAACACCTGCGCTATCTTGGGACCAGACGGTGTCGGTTGCCTTGCAGACATTGTGCCTCTCAAAAAAAATGGGATAGATGTAGTCTTAGCTGCTATGTTGCGTGGTGAGTTACTGTGTGCTTGTCTTGCACTCCGAGTCATGCTGCTCAGTTTGAAAGGGCCTGCATATAATTTGAACCCGCATTCTGTGTATTTATCAGTGCTCTGACGATGAAGTAATTTGTTTCATGGATATACAAAGCGGATTCATACTGATGGCACTTTTATTTCATTATGACCGTGGAATGAAATTGCAGAATGGAAGCAATTCCAACACGTCATGATGATATCCGCTTGCCCCATTCACCAGCACATCTGTCATACTCCTCCATCTTGCGACACATCTTCCCAGCGATCCCGCTGCGGATGATAGCATGACTGGGCACAAGTGACGAACCAGAAGCCATAACGAGGAAGACAACTGGGAGAAAATAAGGGAGCACGAAGGAGACAGTAATTCATATAGTTGATGAAGACTATCGTCGAGGTGGCTGACAGGCCGGCAACTTGAAGAACCGCTATAGTTTAAATGATGGAGCAATGGGTGAGATATTGAGTTATGATCCACTGTAGCATGGTCGCAACCAATCAAATACGCTCCTGCAGGTTCTGTTGAAATTCCTGCGATCTGACAGCAATGACAATTCCACAATCGATCACAATCGAGCCCATGAGTATATGCATGATATAAAAGCTGGCCGTTGTCTTATACATAGTATTCCCCCATCCTCAGAATTTTATATCACCTCGCACAGAAAATGCGTTCCTCCCTCCTTGCCGTTGTCGTTGCTTTGACAGCATCTATGTTTGTCAGTGCATGTTTGACCGCAAATCAACGTTGCAAAACGTATTACGATTGCTGTGATGGCCTGATTTGTGCCGGTGCTTCTGTGAGTGTCGCCGTGCAACCTGGGTTCACTGACCACATGACTCACCTGGACGCCTTAGGCTGCGGGATCAGACCCAGTTTTGATCTGCCAGTAGTAGTCGGTTTAAAATTGGGCCGGCAGCCCGGGGGTAAATCGCGACAGTGAGTCATGTTTCTGCTTTCGCTTTGGCATCATGATTGATGGTGCGATACCTACTAGTTCGGAGCCGCCAATCACAATACAGCTGCTTTTGGACATATTTTCATGCTGCTTGAGCAATGTGGATGTTTGAATTTATCTGAAAATGTTCGACCATGCCTACTCTTGCTCGTGGTCCGTCTGAGAGGCTGTTGAAACGACCGACCATTGCTGTTGCCGTTATGATATACGTGAAAAAAGGAGGTGACAAAGATGAAGATGAAGATGAAGATGAAGATAAAAGGGATCGATATTACTGCCTGCGCCGCTGCGGTACTTGACACCAAAGGGTAGTGTGGGTGCTCGAGAGTGGTTCTGTTACATAAAATAAAGACCCGCGAGGAGACTTTGTCCTAATTGGGCAGTGTCAATGTCCTCCGGCTCTCCGAGTCCGGAGTCAGGGTTCTACATGACTCACTAGCAACTCTACGTATACAGGATAATCTACACAGTAGTAGTTTGTATTTTCATATCACCGAATACTAAATCTCCTTCGTGCGATTGAGTCAGTATTAACTTCGTGGCTGATAGCTATTCCGAATCTTCTCCATGTCTTTCCTTTATCATCGGTTGCTAGTAAAAGCCAGAACCACCAGTTGGGGACATCTTCAAACGACCAACTCTGTCCCCCAAAGGTCGCCAGTACAACTTCGCCTTGTCCCTTTTCCGCTTTCCAATTCAAGAACGCCTGTCTTTCCTCGCGCTCCTTATTTGCGATTTGCTGTCGCAAGCTAGGTGGACCAAAGAAGGCAGGGTCGCGGCCGCTATTGGAAGGCTCCAATATCCCCCCGATAATATATATTCCGGTCTGAGGTAGTCTTTTACGGAAGAGCTCGGCATAGTGTGGCATGAGGTGGATCTCAATATTGAGATCATCATGCTCTACCGCAATAGACGCAAAACTCAAGCTTTCTCCAACTTTCTGTACTTCGAGACTGTACATGGACATGTGCAGTATGCCCTGAGGGTCAACATGAGGCAAGAGTTCAGCATGTGGCGTAACGCCAAAGATATCCCTTGGCTGCCAGCCAAAGCCACTAGGCAGCCACGAGACGCCGAGACCGGGTTCATCCCTTTCGTAGATTTCATGTTGGAGCGTAAGTAAAGCAGATAGATCCCCGTCTCGAACTCTCAAGTAGGAAAATATGGCGAGGATGATGCCTGGTGAAAGCTGATAGTCCACCGGAAGCGAGTGACGAATTTTTGGGGAAAATAGGCCAAGAATGCCGTAGATGTTATCATGAAGGAATGCGCAGTCTCGCTTGCGACAGTACTGCAAGCAGAGTTCAGGTGACATTGGGCGATGCCAATCTGATATCGGGAGAGAAATAGGAAATTGGTCGCTCGTTATGCTAAGAAGGATACGAGAGCCAGGCGAAACCGAGTCGCTAGTCTTGACTAATTCGTTGGCGTCAATTCGGATGTTTCTAGCGCGGACTACAACTTTTCTGGACAAGTACGTCTCCTGGAAGACCCAGAGTCGTTTGGCATGATATCCCTTCATCCAAGTTATAATCCTGCGCCAAGCTTGGTCGCTTCTGGATTCTGATCCTGTGTCATCTTGGGCAGGGCCTTCGGTAGTAGCATAGCGCCGGCGTATTGCTTCGGATATAGCAACACAGCAAGCTGCGTTGCTGTAGTAGTCGCTCATCCTGGGTATCTCACGTGCGACATCTTCTGGATCCGCTTGGTTGACGCAAATGCTGTCTATCCAGACATACTCAATACCCATCAACAAAGCTTCCCTGGCAACAAGGAGAAATATTTCTTGCATATATTCCCGCGATATCCCCGCTGGTACTTCCGACGGACAATGCAAACGATCCACCTCCCTTTCCTCTTCATCAACTGCTTGAACGATGTTTGGATGCATGAGACAAGTCAAACGGAACCAATCGTCGAATGTGGGTGCCCGGGGTATGTCGTTGTATAAACCAGAATAGTGTTCTGAAGTGTCAGAAAATCTGTCTGGATTCCAAAGGTAGGATGCAATGACATAGCGCTTCGTGGTATCATTCTGGGTGGTTTCGATTTGTCCCGTGAAGATGTTGATTAGCCTTGTTGGAACAGGCCTGGGAGCTGATAGTGCATCCGAGTCCACTTCCTGATCCAGTGCGTCGAATTTCTGTATTGCATTGATCCAGGCTACCCGAGCCCGGTTGGTTTTAGTGACGGGTGCCGGTGACTGGCCATCCAAGTTCCTTGACGATCCAAGTATAACTTGAATGAGGGTTCGTAACCAGCGATATGGTGCCAATAAGTACCTAGAAGCAGGGTGAGTTGACTCGATTCTCCATAACTTTATGGTATACCTTAGCATTTGGGAAGTAAGTTCATTTAAATGCATACTAGCCGCCTAGTTTGAAGCCAAAAATGATCAAATCGACTAGTGTGAGATTGAAATTGCGAGAGGATAATAGCAATTGGTGTAGTAGGAGTAAATAGTGCGGTATGGCTCGCTGCACTTCCTTCTAGTCGACTTCAAGTTAGCCACGAGTTCAAGTGCTCTGCCGGCAGGCTGCCGCAGCATACAGCCACTAGCAATCCCAGATTGGCAGGAAGATTTGATATGCATTACGTTGATCAATTGACGACTTGACTCGTCGGCATAGATCAGACTCTGGAGCAGTCCAACGTACGTCTTTGAGAAGGTTAATAGAGTCGGTGTGGCTTCTCTAAGTTATCTAACGTGCAAGTATTGCGGGAAATGCGGCTTTAGGCGTAAGAGTTCGAGAACGCTCACCGGGAGCTGCGGGAGAGAACAAGATCTTAAAGCAGACCAGCCAAACGATGTCCAAAGGGGAAGAGCTAGAAGCAAACCAAAGAATTACGTCTATGATGTGGTCTCAATTGCGGGTGATAATGAACTGGCACTTGTCACATTGACCTAAGTATTCGTTTCCGAGTTTTTATCTAGCTTCTGGATGACGGTACTGGTAAAGATATTGATATCTGTCCTAGAAATAATATTGAGTAAATGGTGGAAGAACTCGCACACTGTGTCAGACTCACAGTCCATGATGTGTGAAACCTATTAATATTGGCCAGAGAGTGCTTGACACGATGACAACTGACCATCAAATCAATTGAAGGAACGTACATTTTAAGACTTGTGCAATTCCGAGTCAGACCAAGGTATTATAGTTGTATCCCTGGTGATGATGATCAAAGCTTGGAGAACGTCGCAACTTGATGAATAGCATGTCATGGAAAGGAGATAGCACTAGAACGTTGAACAGCTAATCGAACTGGAGTTATCACTGCCAAGGTCCGTGACAGCGTGCTACTGCCGGCTTAGAGTTGAGCTTCAAGTATAAGTTGAAGATCTCGACATGGAACGTTCGCAACATAAGTACATACATAATTTATGAGCAATATATTGTATACGGCAGCACCTGAGAACGACTTTATACTTTTCCCGCTTCTGAACAGGATGAAAGTTTTTCAAAATAACCTTGCTACTCTAGCTATAATATGGCCATCAACCATCCATCCACAAGATCCACTATTTTTCGTCTAATAAGCTCCTCAAGTCCGAACTGACTCAACTTTCAGTCATGTACTTCCTCTCTCGACGCTCTGCGGAGCCATCAAGGGCATCTTCTGATCTGGACATAGCTGGAGGAAGAAGCGCTGCAGCAGATACTAGTACCGTTCCCCAGGGGAAATATCCAAATCGTGTTCTTAAACGCGTCACCACCCTCTTCAACCCTCGAAAAAGAACTTCGTTCAAGAACCCCAGCCCCGTGGGCAGCCACGAAGCAGTCGGATTCATTCGTGATGCCGCTGCAGCATATCCCCGGCCGTCTAGTGATTCCTCCACTGCATCACCAGACGAAATTAGGAGACCCAGTGGCCTGGGACGCAGGGCCAGTTTAATGGAGTCTTGCGGTGAAAGTATCGATCTGGAGCGGTCAAACGGAAATGGAGGTGAGGCAAGATTGCTCAAGTCTTTGTCCAATTTATTGAATAACCCGTCACATTCATTCCGTCCAGGATTGCTTGCAGAACACACAACACATACAGGTGTCACGATCCAGAGCCTTCCTGCGGAGGTGTTAGAGGCAATTCTGTCTTTCTTGCCCAAGTTCGATTTACCGCGTATTGCCCTTGTTTCTGCTCAGCTCTGCAATGCCTCGCGTAACACATTATATCGGATACTCGACTTCCAATCAATATCAGAGCCACAAATTAAAAGGCTTTGTAAAACCCTTGCCACCCATGCGTCTCTCGCTACGAGGGTTCAATCTTTCTCATGTCACTTCTGGCCAACATCTGAGGACCATCTCATACCATCTCTTGATCTCACAACTGCATTGCACAATATGTCAAACTTGGAATATCTTACGCTACGGACATTTCTTCCGGTATTTTCGCAGTCGCCTCCTCTTTCTTTCCGGTTGAAGACACTGGTCATCCTTGATGACACAATTTCTGAGGAGCAATTCATCGACATTCTACATTTCCTCAGAAATCAATCCTCCCTACAATATCTAGCTTTTCCCAATGTCGTCGAGAACCCTTCACTCGAATCTTCCTTCCATCAACACATATTCGTATCTGGTCTAGCACGGGAGATGTTGCCATCGCTCTCTCAACTGCATGCTCCTCCACGACTGACGATGGCAATATGCTCCTTACTGGGACAAACACTTGAAACTGTTGTTTTAGATATCACCACCACGCTATACACGGGGTTGCGGCCTGCCGCACTCCTTCGTGCAATTCAAGGCGTCTCCAAACTGGATGTGGTCTTCACTCACGAGGTGGACAAACGAACAGTTGAAAAATTCTTGGGTGCTGCCGGTGGAATTTTGTCAGGTAGCGGCGCTGCCAATAACCGCGGCCTCACGGTTTTGGAGGTAGAGGTGCTTTGGATGGAAGACGACACCGCCGAGGTCAGTGATATTTTCTGGATCCAAGAATCATCGATTTTGACGCTTTGCTCGAAGATATTATATGGCATCATTGATGCAGTTATCTCGCGTTTTAATGGTTTGCGCACGCTCAAGGTCACCACACCATTTCGCTCCAGACAGTCACGACTGTTGACGCCCCCATTATCTGGCTCTCTGCAACTGTCAGCACCATCATCCCCTACTCCCACAACGCCCCCGCTTAGCATTTCCTCGATGTCGATTACTTCACCTGTGGGTGTTGTCCTATCGAGCGACTTTGTGAGCTCGGGCACAGAGAAGACACACGCCAAAATATGGACGAAAGCTTGCTCTACGTTGAGTGACATCCAATTTTGTTTTCCGGATCCATCGCCCGAGGCAGACATTGGACTGTGTGGAGTCTGGTTTCGCAGGAAAGAGTGACGGTCGGGCGCTGGCCCTCTCCCAGGATACAGCAGAGAATTGTATTCATTCGGCTTCGTCCAGCCCTTCCGGCTCTCTGCTGGTATTCATTGTTGCATTTTACTTCGTTTCGTCAAACTTGGGAATCTTGAAAGTCAAGTGTTGCCATGTCAGGATATAAGTAACATAAGGTATGTATAGTGATATGCAAGATATATGTGTGTAAAAATTAAACGGCTAGATATCAAAAGTCTACCTTGGTGTTCTAACCGCGTCGACCATGATCACACCTAGCTGTCTTGTAAACCCTTCCATCAATCCGTGCGAAGACGCTTCTTGGCACTCCCGTTCACATGACCATTGCTAGCGAAATCGTCCACTGTCGAGAAATAGTCTATAGATCCCTTGGGGTCCGGCTTGATGGTTTTAGCACCCTCGGTCCAGCCCAAAGGGCAGACCTCCCCATGTTCCTCCTGCAAAAGATGCAATGAAACGTTACGATATGCAAAGAAAAATTCGTACCACAAATTGGAAGGCCTTGAGAAGACGGACGGTTTCATCCACAGATCGACCGACGGGCAGATCATTAACGGTGATTTGCCTATTCAAAAGCGCCGGTTACCAAACTAGTCCAGGATTCACACAAACACCCACCTGACGATTCCCTTGGGGTCGATGATGAACAAACCACGTAGTGCAATGCCTTCCTCCTCGATGAGGACACCATAGTCCTTGGATATTGTCATGTTCCTGTCCGCAACCAAAGGTAGCTTGAGGTCAGGTCCAATGCCGCCCTGCTTCCTCGGTTGCTGTGCCCACGCAAAGTGGGAATACTGAGAATCTGTGGAAACGCCTAAAAAAAACCATCAGAACGCGTCTAAAACACCACAAAAATAATCCCGAACTAACCGAGAACGGAGGCATTCAGCGCTTTGAATTGAGGAAGCGCATCGTTGAAAGCCAAGATCTCAGTTGGACAAACAAACGTGAAATCCCTGTTAGCGTGACGAAAATGATAGTGAGAAACATGATGCTTAAGGAGAACTTGTATTATCCTCACATTGGGTAGAAAAAAAGAATCACCCTTGCAATAAGCTAATGTTAGCTGCTACTCTCACGAATGTCTAGCGCATAAGACGCGTACCATTGTCCCAGGTATTCGGATAGGGAGACCTCCTTGAATTCACCCTCTACGACTGCGGTAGCTGTGAAGGCTGGTGCTGGGCGCTGAACGAAGACGGCCATTGTTGTGAAGTTGAGTTGTGGATTTAGAGAAGAGGCGAATTATCCAAGTGGTGTCAGTTGCCATGAAGATTTTAAATCCAATTAACCACCGCGTTATGTGTCTTTGTTTGGCTAGTCCATGGACCCGTTAAATGAAGACGGAGACAGAATGAAATACTTATGACCTCACACTAGCATGAGAACCTAG